AATCCCTCAAATGATATTTCAAGTCCTTATATGACTGCCCAGTGGTAACTATCTATTTACGGTATTGCAGGTGTCCAGGCTGGTGCAGAAAGCAGCACGTATCTGGAGCTCCTGTTGGCCTATGATCTCTGTTTATTCTTCTTATCCTTTCTAATGTAAGGTATATATACATCATATGTAAAGTGCACAAATCGTAAGTATACAACTTGATCAATCATTTTCACAAAGTGAACATACCATGTAAATATAGCCCCATATCTAAAAAAAAAAGAACTCTGGGGAAGCCATCAACATGCCTTCTTGGTCACCACGCTTTCCACTCCCACCAGAAAAACTACCATCCTGACTTCTAACACTGTGGATTACTTTTACTGGCTACTCCTGCTTTTCTTTTAATTGAAATTTTTATGGAGATAATTGCAGATTTACAAGCAGTTGCTGTAAGAAATAATACAGAAGGATTCTTGGTACCCTTTGCCCCGTTTTCCCCAAAGGTAACATTTTGCAGAACTATAGCATAATGTCACAATCAGGATATTGATACTGATACAGTCCACTTACCTTCTTCAGATTTCTTAGTTTTACTTGTACTTACTTGTGTGGGTGTACGAAGTTCCATAGTTCCTCCATTACACAGAGGTTCATTTATCCACTACCACAGTCAAGGTTCCAATACCCTGAGTTCCAATACCATAAGGGTCCTTCATGTAACCAACACCCATCTCCTTTCTGAATGATCCCTCCCAACCTCTGGCAACTAGTCTAGCCTCCATTTATGAAATGTTGCCACATCAGAAATATTACATAAATGGAATCATGCAATGTGTAAACTTTCCAATGGACTTTTTCTGTTCAACAAGGCTACTCTTTTTTAGTATGATTAGAATGCTTCTTTTAAAAGCTATCCATCAGTTTTACTAGAGACCATAAAGCTATACATGCTCTTCAATGAATAAATCTAAACAAGTGCTTCTCGTCTTTTAGAAACCTTGGGGCAAATGTTCATCCTTGGGTAAGCATGCCTAGACAAAAATTATTATGATTTATCCTCTTTTAAGGTACCTATGGTAGATATGCAAAGAGAATTTTTGTATCATTCTGATCCTAAGAATCACTAGCAGTACGTTTAAAGGAAAGCAATAGTTATGCTGCCCACTTAACTACGTAAACTCTGATACCGGACTGTTAAAGGCCAAGGGAGCCTCGAATAAGGATATTCCTGGGAGTCTATCACCAGCTCTGCAAAATTAACTTGCTGCATTTTTCATTCTAACAAAAGGTAAGACTCATTGAATAAAACAGCCTCCCAAGACAGACGATATTTATTAAAAATGCTATTTGCAGAAATTCCTTTAAAAAACAACTTTTGTTCCTGGCAAATCTGTATCTACTAATTTCGTTCTCTGCTTTTTGCTCTAGTTAATCTAGCGGTACAGTCCCCAAAGAAACAGGTTGTGAATTTTCAAAAGGCCAAACCTGTAAATGACCAGAAAGTTCCTCACTGATAAAGCTTCATCTTCTTTGTGCAGAGACCTTCATTCACACGTACTCACCTGTTCTCAAACTGAAATTTCGCCAGTATGTCTTTGGCTTTGGTTTGACTGTTGAGTTGAATGGCCATGGACACCTTGGAGAGAAGAGGAGCGTGGACGCGTATGACTCCTTCGGGCACGTCAGACTGCCAATGAGGAGAAATTCAGGACATTCTGTCAAACTGGGGTGAATGTCAGTTCAGTGATGCACTTAAGAGATACAAAAATCAGTGGTGCTCTGAATTATGAAAACACGTAAACATGACCAATATTTGACCAGAATGAAATGCCGCTTTCTTTTTTTCCCGGAGATGCGCTAATAGCTAGACTGAACCTGCGATTTTACTTTCGCTACAATGCTTTGAAATTCTGAGAGGGATAAAACTGGTTTATGACAAAAATCAAATATTTCTATCAATGCACTTATTGAACAAAGTCCTAAATAAGCCTACTTTAAGCAGAATACTGTAAGTTATTATAAGAAGATCAACTTTCTGAAAATTGTAAGGATCCACTAGAAAATACGGCTTCTTCAATACAGCCATATTTAGCAGCCATGAATGGCCCAAATGGAATTCCACGTGGGCACCTAAAACACGCTCCCTCAAAGTGTGCGAAAACACCGTGCAGAGCCCGGTGTGGACGCCTGTCGGGAGGACAGTGACTCTGCTTTCCCAAGACGTGACTGGCCTGGGGACCTCGGTGCTCTCATCTAAGTAGAACATTCTTTTTCTTTTTTTTTAGTCTAACTGGGCTAAAACTAAATGGAATATTCTAAGAATAATGCTGTCTGATTAACATAAATTTCTGTTTTGTCAGGATTGACTGGAACATTCCTTTTGTTTCAAAATTTTGAATTTTCTAATCTTTTAATTAATTCTGTGTCTAGGCGATGAACAGACAAATTTGTTTGTTTGAGAATGTGGCTACTCCTCAGGTAATCATTTTAAATCTGTACCTTCTCAAAGGATGGTGTTGTCATTGTAGAAGGTTTATGTGAATTGGCAATACGTGGCCTAGAATGAATATGTTATGGGTTGAATTGTGTCTCCCCAAAGACAGGCTGAAGTCCTACCCCTTGGCACCTCAGAATATTACGGTCATTGCAGATGCAGTTAGTTAAGATGATGTCAAACTGGGGCAGGGTGGGCCCTTCAGTCAGGGGGACTGGTGTCCTCATGAGAGGAAAGTGACATACACAAGAGAGAACACCGTGTGAAGATGGAGGCAGAGATTAGCGTGACAAGTCTACATGCTAAGAAGCACCAAGGACTACCGGCATCACCAAAAGCTAGGAGACGTGCAAGAAACAGACCCTTCTCTCTCAGCCCTGGGACACCTTGATTTTGGATTTTGGACTCCAGAGCTGTGAGAGAATAAATTTTTATTGTTTTAAGCTACGCTGTTTGTGGCAACTTGTTACGGCAGCCCTAATACAAAATATTTTTAAATAGTATAAGTTCTTATAGCACTTTCCTAATATCACCAGTAAGAAACATGAGAGCATGTTGGGGAAGAGACACTGAGGGACGTGGATTTGGGAGGAGGCAGAGGCCCTGGCTCACTGCAGCCAAGCCTGCACCCCTAAAATCCTCCTTCGATCATCTCATGTCCCTCCCCTCCCAGCTGCCCAGAAGCTTCTGTAAGGTAAATTCCATGCTGTAACATTATTGGACCTATGATTGTAATAATCACATTCACCCTAGAACTTTCTACGGCATTCACAGCTGTGTGCAGGACACCTGAGCACACACTTGCAATCACCCGTTAGTCAAGTCCCTGTACCGTTCCTTCACGTGCCACACTGAAAATGTCGAGTTTGAAGGATAGATCATGACCAAAATTATACATGATATGGTAGATGTAGCCAAAGAATACCACGTAGGGAGTTAACAGTTAATAGAGACAGGAAATCATTTGTTTTCTTACCATTCTTCTTGAAGAGGGTGATTTTTGTAGTACCTTTGAAGTCTTAGGGCTTGTAATCTAAAGGAAACACATTTAGTCATTAGGATTAATGTTGAGGAAAACAAGCATATTCTGCTTTTGGAAGTGCAAACTGGTGCAATCTTCATAGAAAGACTTTGGCGACATTTATCAAATTATAAAATTTGACCCAAAATTCCATATCTATAAATTTCTCCTATGAATATAATTCTCTTGTTAAAAATGATGTCTATAGAACTTTATTCATTGAAACAGAAATTGTAATAGCACAAGATTAGACACAATCTAACTGTTCTACAATATGGGATTACTTAAATAAATTATTGGCTGTCTATGGAATATCACGCAAAAGGAGGTTTTGTAGACTGATATGGAATAATCCCCATGATTTCTTATGTCAGTAAAGTAAGATGCAGGACAGTACTTCCTGTACGCTACCATTTATGTAAAAAAGGGGGAAGAACATATATTTGTATGTGCACAGAGCATCTCTAGAGGTGTACACACCTGCATGTTCCTGTGCACACAAGCCCTGTTACTGGTGACATTATTTGTCTCCAAGAGAGGAAGTCAGAGGTGGTTAATTTTTATTCTATAGTCTTTCCTAGCTTTTGAATTTATAACTTGTTAATAAACTATTACAACTGAAATTAAGAATTAAAAACACTATATAGTACAATAGAACTAAAGGTTAAGTGTTGCTTCCATAGTATTTATAACCTTTGAATTCTATCTTGGTTCTATTGACAACTAAAACATTAAAATAAATGACATTCATATAGCAGTGTACAGTTTACAAAGTGCTTTACACACACATTATGAGAGTCAATGGTATGGCAATCCTGTGAAATAGATGTATCATTATTTTTCTCCCAGATTTATAAAATAAGAACATTGAAGCTCGAAGAACAAATGTAATTTGCCCCAGCTCATACGGCTAGTAATTGACAAAGGCTGACCTGACTCGGCTCCAGCTCCACACATATCATACTTACGCCATTAAAGCTTTCCAGGATTAAAATAAGAGTAAGAAACACCAAAGGTCTGCCCCTCCATGAAAGCAATAAACTGGCAAAAACTGTCAGTATTGACTTACTCTCTCCCCACTGCCCAGTTCAGCGATAGCCTTGAAATTAACAGCCTGAACTCCTGGCACAGGTATGGAAGCAGAATAGACCTCGCTCACAAAGAATTCTAATTATTTGTTCTCACCTGTCCGGTGGCTCCCTGGAAGACTGGCTCAAATGGTTTGCCTTTATCTTGCCTAACCTGGAACTTGACCAGTGCTACAGGGGTGTTAAAAACATTCATAGGCAGGTGTTTTAGCCACAGCTGCCTGATGCAGTAAGTAAGAATTAGGGAAAACAACAGGTAACTAAAAAACTTAGACGGCAGGGCTGGAGATTGAGGTGCTTTAAGGAATAAAGCCTTTGAAAAGCTCTGATATATTCCTGAACATCTAAAAGGCCACATGCATGCCCAACCCTGCGCACATGCTCAGGAAGGACCTGAAAAGAACACCCGCTCTCACTTCTGGCCGACCTTCAGGCTCTGTGCACGCAGGAGGCGAGGGCTTGGGCAGAGTTATGCACCGCCCGGCTGAGTGCTGAGCGTGCCCCAGCAAACACCAGAGCTCACCTGCCAAGACTAGGGGAATGTTTGAGTTCTAGGCATTCAAGAAAATCTCTGTCCAATCATTAGCTAACCGTTAAGACTTCTGTAGCCACACAAAACAAAGAATACAGACTTTACAAAATCAGTTCAGCAGAAAAGTCACTAAACAAACAGCTACAACAAGCTCTGGGCAGGGGAAAGAATCTGATTTCCAAGGTTGCCACATTATAAAATTCAAAATGCCCAGTTTTCAACCAACAGTTATGAGACAGTCAAAAAAGCCAAGGAAATATCACTTATACATGGGTTAAAAAAAAAAAGAAGTTTCAATAGCTTCAAAAGAAATTGTCTAAGGAAGCTGAGACATTGGACTTACTAGAAAAAGCCTTCGAATCAGCTATTTTCAGTACGTTCAAAGAACTAATGGAAACCATGAGTTTCCACTGCAACTTGATGGTTGCAGAAAATTATGAATATACTAAAAAAACACTGAATTGTACATTTTGAAATGCTTACAATAATCAATTTTATATTATGTGAATATTTTCTCAATTAAAACAAATTATTTCCAAATAAAAGTATTGGTTCTACTTGCTATGAAGTCACTTTGCCTGTAATCAGTAAAGGAACACAGCCATTCACCAGGATCGTGATAAATCAATTAGCAATACTCCTTCCCACCCCACTGCCTTGGCATTTACTATTCCCTTTCCCTGGATGAACTTTACCCTCCTTTCTCCTTTCACAGAACTATCCAGCCTTCAAGATGCAGCCCCAGTGCCATCTCCTCCATAAAGCCACCCACGGTTTCCCATGTTGGAGTACTTTCCTTTGTCCTCTGTCTGGCCCTGGCACAGCCAGTCTGGGGCTTCCCTGATGGGTATTCATGGCCACGTATACATTTGTCTCCCACATTGGGTGCAAGTTCCTTTAAGAACAAAGTGAATTTCAAGTATCTCTGCCTCCTTTCCAGGATGAATACAATGCCTGGCATTTGTGATCATCCTCGAGGTAAATAAAAGCAATAAAGATAATTCTTCTAAAATCTGTTTCCATTATGGACCTCTCCATGCAAATAACTGTGATAAAACAAAATTCCAAATTGTTTAGAATGCAATGGATTTACACAAAACAATTTGAGGACTAGCTATTCCTTTATTATCCAGGCACTAAAGAAATCTCTTTCCCTGTGTGTTAGACATATTGGGTACTGGATTGCCCTTAAATTGAATTCACAGGACTTAAACATCAGTTTTTGTGAGAATCATTTTAACCTTCCTGGTGAGTACTTAACAGATGTCAAACAATCTTCATGACAGACACATTTCAAGAACTTTCACCAAAAAGCACAAAACTCAGCAACATGGAAAGACCACAGTACCCTGTTATGGACCCACTTTCCACAGTGTTTATGGCCATAAGACTGATACTTCGTGAGAATATATAAGTTTTGGTTCTAAATTACAAGCTCTTTGTGCCCCCCTTTGAGAACTACGCATCTACGTAGTGAGCTATCTCTGCCCTCATGCGTCATCATTACCTCCCGTTCTATGGTCTTCCTCCTGAGCAGCTTTCGTACACTTGGTAGCTGCTTCTTCAACAGCATGGTGGCTTCATTCATCCTCCTCACTTGAGTGATTAAGAAAGATGGAACCTACAGAAGAAAAATAGCTTGACTAGAGGAAACACTTGAACTAAACCTCCCTGGTGGATTCTGGCTTCAGTTATGTAAGATAACGCCGTCTCGCCACGCGGTATCCTGGAACCAGGAACATTTGCCCTTGTGAAGTTTAGAAAAAACTATGAGGAATCCTGTTCAAGAGGGAAAACGTGTTAAAGAGCAGCCCTTACAGAATGTGTAAGGATGTCCCCAGCAACCTGGGATTATCTTCTCATACGAATATTTCCTCCTGACGACTAAGGGACTTGCTCGAGCACCTTTACGTTTCCTGGCGCTGTGGACTTCCCAGGAGAACCTGACGGTCGTCACCCTGTCACTCACCTTCCACAACATTTTCTGGTACTTAAGCATGAGGCGGATGATGTGGGCCGCGGTGTTTGCTAACAGTAGCTCTTCATAATCGGAATGCTTGCTCCTACTGAAGAAAAGGTTTGGTGCCATCACAGTAGAAATGTTCCACATACTCATTCGGTTTTTTGATTCGTTGGCAATCACTTTATTGAAGAACGTCATGAGGGCCTAACAAGAAACAGCACTGTGTCACTCTCTTGTAAATTGTCAACAGGTACTACTAATGGCTACTGTTCACTTTATATTCATTCATTGTGTCCTGGAGAACTGTCACAAGTACAGAATGGGTAAATGTGCCGTGTTTCCCTTTCATTGCCTAAAAGTGCCAAGAAGAATGTGAGCAGTTTATTCAACTATCTGCTCCACAGAAGCAGCTCCATTTTTACGCAGTTTATTACATTGGAGTCTCTATAAAAAATAGTTTGTATTTTCCTATTTTTTATCCTAAACAAGTTCGACGAATATTGAAATTAAATATAAACCAGGAAGAGAAAACACTGCAGCCCCATCACCATGAAAAGGCAGTTTTGTTTTGTTGTCAAGGAATAAAAGTAATTATGAAAAAGACCCTGAACTTAAAGCATTACTGTCGGAAACTATTTACTGTTTCCTAGGGAAAGAAAAACCCATTTAAACAACATGAGTATCTCATTCCTCAGTCTAAATGTAAATTCAATTGAAAAATCAGAAAGTTTTACTTTTTGAGTGCTATTTTTCTATTGCTTTTCAATTTTGAAATCTTCAGCTGGCCAAAGGCAAAATGCTTGTGTGCAGCTGTTCTAAGCATTAAAAGAAAAAAAAAATTTTGAGAAAGCTTAATAGAAGTTTGCTGAGCCATCCAAGTATAGATATTCATCAAAACCTTCTGAAATTAATCAAGAGGACTGAAATTCCAAAAGGAAGTGCTCTTCGGTTTCCCAAGTTTGGATTCTACTATCGGGTATTTGTAATGAGAAAATGGACAGTACATAATAGTAATAATAGTTAACATTTATTTGAGGGTTTATCATGAGCCAGGTATTATTCTTAGTACTTTATATATATTTACTCATCATCATCCCAAACCCTGTGTGGTAGGTGCTATTATTATTTACAGATGAGGAAACCGAGGCAGAAGGGGACTGAGCAGCTTTGCCCAACGTCAATTACCAAAGTGGCAGGGCCAGATTGTGAGCAAGGAGCCCAACTCTTGAGCTGGAGTTCTTGACCTCTGTGCCATGCCAGCTTCAATCTTAGATCCAGTCCCAATTTAGAATGGAAAAAAGGAGTGTGTGTGTGTGTGTGTGTGTGTGTGTGTGTGTAACATCTTCATTGGTCCTGTCATGTTTTGGGGCAATCTTCTGTTAGAAATATATTACATTAGTTGATAATTGCTGCATTCTCAGTTACATGAAAAGGTAGATGACCTTTTGACTCAGATATATGATGCCAGATGGATTTTTTTTTTGACAAAAGAATATTATTTAGACAAAGCCAAAAAAAAAATCAAGCTAATAAATTTCTAGCTTTTGGAAAATTGCTGAATTATATTAGACGTTTTCATACCATAGCCACCCCCCTCCTTGCATGGAGGACATAATATAATTGACATATATTGTAATTGACATAGATCTTTTCACTGTGTAGGGGAAGATCCTCACCACGCTGCAATGTCTGATATGAGGAGCGCTAAGAATCATCTTTGTTTTCAGCATTATGTACTGGCCTCAAAATGAGTGGCTCTTTTCAACTCACCCTTATCTCAATTTCATTTCAAAGACTCCAAATACCTGTTGTCCTTATAACAAATTTCCTATTATATGTAGAATCATTATCCAAATAGTAAGAGAAACTTTGATTTTTACCAACATACCGCAAAGAAATGAATTGGGAATAAAGGGATATTTGGGATGCAGAACTATGGGATATGAGTCTCTGAAGTGTTCCATTGCATGTTAAATGGAGAAACCACTTTCCTGAGCTTCATTTTCCCAATCTGTAAAATGACCCAATTCTATCAGGTGATCTCTAAAATTCTGAAATTCTATAATTATTTACATTGAATTATCTTCATAAATTTAAAAACATGAACATTTTAGACATTTCAGTTAAATCAGTGATTTTGAATTTCCTCCCCAAGGACACTCATCAGATTTTTTTTCTGCCACCTGAGCACATTAGACTACAGTAAGCAGCTGAGGACCAACAATTACAGTGCTACATTGTACAAGCTACGTAATGGTCCCATTTACTTCTGACACTGTTCACCTAAGCCTTTCATCCTAGGCTCTCCTGCGCCTAACGTCTCGCCCAGTGCTTGGCACAGGGTAGACATTTAATATTTTTTGAATGAATGGAATAAGTAGAAACTTAAATGCTTAAAGAAGATCCCAGGATCTCCATTCTTTCTTGTCTTCCTCCGGAGAGCGGCGGGGGAGCTTGCAAAGGCAGTGCGCTTGCAGCATGCACAGGTGGCTTAGTAAGTTGCCATCCCTGTTTTCATTTTTCCATAAGAGCCATTTCCTCTGAGCAGCAAGAGCCCAGTGACAGACCGTGAGGTCGACAGGACATACCTGGGCTGTATCCCTGTTGGCATCAGGCAGTGCCATGATCATGAGGTGTAAGGCTTGGAATTGCACTTTGATGTGAGGCCCTCCTAATAAGAAAACAGAAATAATCATAATTTTAAACAACACTGATGTGTTCTGACAGCATCTCTTACTAGCATCTGGTAGCACAGGAGGGCTCCTGACAGCTTTCCGCAGCAAGGACTCAGGTTTTGTGCCCAACAATGTAAATTTGTTCACTTGGACAGGAGCCTCCGTCTACCAACTCCCCTTTCACAGCCCACGATGCCACTGTCGAGGCAGGTGGCCAGTGAGATCCTCAAACGAATTCTGAATTTGGATAACATTTCCCTTTTTTAAGTACTTGCACAGACCTTGCCTTACTTTTACACTATAAAAAGAAGAGAAAGTTTAAGCTCAACTCAAGAGAAAATAAACTTTGCTTCTACATAACGAGGCAACAAATTGTTAAGAACATAGATTCTGGGACCAGGTTCAAATCCTGCATCTACTACTTAGTCACTGTGTGACTTTGGACAGGCTATTGAACAACCCCTTGTGGCTTCTACTTTATCTTTCGTAAAGTGGGAATGGTCCTCGTACCCACCTGACAGGACTGCTCTGAGGATCAGATGGATAAATATATGTAGAGTGTTCCAGTCAGTACCTATACATCTTTCTGTGTTTGCTCTTGTTTTTATGATCAATGACACTTATTCCAGATCTTACATGGACATTTAGGGAAGGTGACTGTAGTTTGATCTTTGGAGAGTGTTGAGTTTTTATTTCTTAATGATGACACAAGATGGCACCAGAGGGTTGGCAGTTACGCTGGGGGATTCCATCCACAACTGGATGAGCCACAACCAGCTGTGCTGGAAGTTTAATGTACACCAGAAGATCCCAGCTTTCCCCTGTTTCTCTGTGTTCCCCTCAAAATGGTCTCTGGGCGGGGAGTTCCTGGAGGAAAGTGTTATCTTCTGGAATCCATGGGGAGTTTTCAAGTTGAAGGAAAATCTATCTATATTCAACGGCTGAACGGCAGTCAGCTAGCCGCCTGTAAAGTTAACGGAGCTTTATAGTAGTGGGAACACTCTTGGGACAGGCTACGAGGTCACAGGGGGTTGTGTGTGCCAGAGTTAGGGAATAGACGACAAGTGTACACAGCCATGTAATAAAGGAACAGTGGGGGCAGTACTTATAGGATGGGATCATATTGTCTCAGCAAAATCCACATGTGGATTTTTAGATATTTATGCCAAATTTGTAAACAAAAAATGACACAGGTCCTGGATATTATTGAAAATGGCTAATACACAGACATGGGCCTGCCTGAATAACAGGAACTATTAAGAGCATGTCTCAGTGCAAAGTATGTAGGGGCAGATAAGACATTATTTTAGTGCACGAACTGCAGGATGAGGGCTGTCTCTAATCTTCCGACACAATCCAAAAAAACCTCTGGAAGAAAAAACAAGAGATGCAGATGTAGGTTTGGGACCTCTGTATTTCCATGAACTTCAGAGAAATTATGAAGTTCCCCTTACAATGAAATATCTAATTTGGCAAATAATCCATTTTCACTTTACTTAGGAAGTCTGGCCCTACATCGTTTTGCGGTTAATCTTTTTGCAGTTAATTCATTTAATGCATCATAGTCTACAGTATTCTTTTTTCCTGAGGTCACTATTTTCCCAGAAAGTTGTTAAGCTTTCTGTGAAAGGATCTAAGGCTTGATTGATGAACTATTAGTCCTTTAATTTTATGAACAGTTTTTTTCGGCCAAGTTTGAAAAGAGAAAGTAATTATACTAGTGGGAAAGAGGATAGATTCTCTGAGCTCCATTTTAGCATACCAAGGGGGACAGCTTAAACACACGCGTACACGTTCACAATTTTCCCCTTCAGACAATCTTGTTATAACTAGAGCTTCCTTTAGGTGGCAAAAAGGCAATTATTTCCTGCTGGTACCAGGCCAGAATTTTGGGCTTCCTGCAGGGTTGGCTGGTATCAAATCAATCACCTGCAATGTAGTATTTTTGCACTTCCAAAGTCATACAAAGAAATGTGGGTTCCTTTGTGACCCCTTTCAGGGTATTTTTCACATCCTCTCCCTTCAAGGAAGCATACTGGCTGCAGTCAGATAGGGATCACTAATGGTAAGGGAAACTAGGATTTTCATATCTTTCTTAAATATGGTTCTCTGAACAGGTCTGGCAATGGAGGCTTGACTTCTCCTTGTGTAATTCATAATACCGAAAAACAAAAACAGAAAACACCTCTGTGGCAGCAGGTTGTTGTGATAAAGTGTTTAGCATATAAACCACAGAACAAGGGGAAATTCATAATTCCGCAGCCCATTTTCTAGGGAGCAAACTTCACAAAAAATCCTGTGGTTTTTTGACTAAAAAAAAAAAGAGATGGAATTCTGTTTCTGGTATTGCTGCGTAAGCTCCTACCAGGTCAACCGTCCTGAAGAGAACAATAATCTCTGGAAAAAGCACAAAAGGCAACAACCCGAGGCTGTGGAGAGTGACAAGAGAAGGCCTACTCAGGGGAGGACTGCAAACCTGGAACTAGGAGATGGCACTGGGGGACTGTCCCAGTTTTCTGGCTTTCACCCTGCGGTCAGGGCACAGGCAGTGCTGCATAGGGCAGCTCAAACTCAAAGAAAAGCCCAGTCCCCCTGGTCTGAACAACCAGAGGACAGGATTCAAGGCAACCACAGCCACTGGAAAGTTACGGGGAGAATCCAGACAGGAGAGATCTAGAGACAGAAGGCTCTAATTCTGGGATAAACTCCACCCAAACCTCTGGCGAACCCACAAACCATGCGTGTGGGGGCAAGACAGCGAAGGATTAAATAACTGAACTGAGAGTTGAGCTGCTGTCTGAAAGACCACTGGCAACTTGAGTCCAGTCAAGCAAATTGTCTGCTTAAAACAGCAACAACAATAAAAAAAACCCAAACAACACTCTTTGGAAAAATATTACAGAATCTGGAGTCTCCAAACACATGTAAAGTAACAGGAAAGTGTAACCCATTCTCAAAGAAGAAAGAGAACAACCCTGAGACCACCCAGATGTTGGAACTAGCAGATAAGGATTCTGAAGCAGCTGTCGTAACTATGCTCAATGATATGAAGGAAAATGTGCTCATAATAAATGAAAAGATAGGTCACCTCAG